TGCCGCCTGCTGTGTCAGCCCTAAGTGCCAGGCAAAAGGCCTCCTTGTGGGTCCCCCTTTCCTCATCGCTGTCACCTGCTACAGGAAGATGCAGCTGTGTCGAAACCTGCTGTGGGGGTGGGGCAGGCACTGAGCCGCAGGCAGGCACACAAGTCTTGTCTCGTGGCGACGCTTTGGGTGGCTTTTACCTTAACTGGGGGTTATTATGGGATGACATTGTGCTGAGTGTCGGATGTGACTCCCTGCTTGTCTCAGGCCACAGCCTGCACGGAGGGAGGTGAGTGTCCCTGAGACACGCTGTGGCTCTGGCGCCATGGTGGCTCAGGGGAAGGAAGAGGAGGCCAGGCCACCTCTTGCCATGCAGAGTGGCCTTAGGTGACACCTGAGTCGTCCCCCAGCAGCAGGGCCAGGAAGCTCAGTGCCCCCTCAGGTTTGCGCAGCCCGCCTCCCTCCTTCTCTCCCTCCCTCCCTCCTGCACCCTGCAGCCTGCTGCTCCTCCTCTGTCTTTGGCCAGGTGTGTGCGCCACCTGACCTCCGCAGCTGTCTAAACATGAGCTTGCTCTAAAAACAACGTAAGCTTTTTTTGTTTTTCTTTTTTTGGCTTTTTGAGACAATGTCTTGCTATGCAGTTCAGGCTGGCCTTGTGCTCACTGTGTAGGCCAGGCTGGCCTGGAACTTGCAACGATCGGCCTGCCGAGAGCTGGGATGACTGCTTCCCAAGAGCTGGCATGTGCCACCATACCTGGCTTAAAATATGAGCTTACCAGATCGGGCGCGGTGGGGCGCACACTCGTCATCCCAGCATTCAGGAGGCTGAGGCAGGAGGATCATTGCAAGTTCCAGGCCAGCCTGAGCTACAAAGTATGACCCTATCTCAAAATCAGAACAAACCTTCAGGCAGAGGGAGAAGGCAGACTGGTGCTGGTCTCTGAGACCGAGGTGCCAACCGCTACCGCTGAGAGAGCTGTGGGTCTGCGCACGCAGGGTGGACCCCTGTTCCCTTAGTGCCCCACATTCTAGCGCGCACCTGTGTTCCTGCCCTGGGGCCTCTGCACTGGGAGCTCCAATCCCGGAGCTCTCCCGATGCCCGCCGGCTTGTCTCCCCGCAGGCTGGACACAGCCCTCTGCTTCCCGAGCACCCCACTTGGTCACTGCACAGAGGCGCCCAGTGCTCCAGGCCGCTGCCCTGCCCACCCTCTTTCCCTCTCTCTGGCCCACCCCTCAGCTTATCTGGCCCTGGCGCGCTCTCCACGCCCCCCCCCTTGGGAACCTCCCCTCCTTGATCCCCAAAGTCCTGGACTGCTGGGAGCTCCAGGCCCACACTGTTCCTGTTTATCCAGCACCTGGTGGGACAGCGCTGCTGTGATGGCGTCAGGCAGCCACTCAGGCTGTGTCTGGGACCAGCTTCTCCCTGAGGCTGTCAGCAGGGGTCATGGAAGCCACGCCAAGTCCTGCAGCCGTGTGGATCTGCCCTCTGGCTCATTTATTTACATTTATCCCGGCTGGGCTCTACACAGCCCCCAGCGCACACTGATGGCTTCAGACACCCCCTCAACCAGCCACAGCAGAGGAGGAGGCTTGGCCAGACCCCACGAGCTGGGGCAACGTAGGCAGACAGTCCAGGCTGGCCTGGAACTCAGCAGTCCTCCTGCTCAGCCTACCCAGAGCTTGGATTAAGTTTTATCCTGCAAATATGGCGCTTGGATTTGGGGCAAAGAAGGAAGCTGAGGAGGGTGGTGTCCAGACAGCCTGCCTGGGGATGGGAGGGACTCTGAGACCCTTCCAACCCCAGCTCCACCATCAGGCTGTGCAAGCGCAGGGACAGGGGACTGGGGGAGGCCGCCCACCTGACCAGCTGTTCTTCATCTCCACAGAGCCCACCGGAACGACATGGAGACCATCTACCCGTTCCTCTTCCTGGGCCTGGTCTACTGCTTCCTGGGCCCCGCACCCACCGCGGCCTGGGCGCACTTCCTGCTCGTGCTCGCCGGCCGCCTGCTGCACACCGTGGCCTACTTGGGCAAGCTGCGGGCACCCACGCGCTCCCTGGCCTACATCGTGGCCCAGCTGCCCTGCGCCTCCATGGCCCTGCAGATCCTGTGGGAAGCGGCCCGCCACCTGTGACCCGCCACCACCACACTGCAGGCTGAGGCAGGCAGTCCTGGCTCCCTGGCGCACTCTGGGCCCAGCAGACTGTGTGTGTGTGTGTCTGTGTGTCTGTGTGTGTCTGTGTTGGATTCCTGGATGAAATGGTCCAATGTCAAGATGGACAGAAAGCCAAATCCCAGCACTGGGGAAGCTGAGGCAGGAGGATCACCATGAGTTTGAGTCCAGCAAGGGCTACATAGTGAAACTGTATCAAAGAAAAGATAAAAACTTTCAACAGAAACAATACAGCCTTAAAATCACATTTCTCGGCCTGGGAGCTAGCTCAGTAGAATAAGCACTGGCCTGAGTTCAGTTCCTAGTTCTGGAAAAAAAAAAAAAATCACATTTCTCTTTCCCTCTCCACAAGTCCAGAGAGGCAGGAGAGTTTCTCTGTAGTATGCCAACCCCAACTAGCATCCCAGGCCCTGTGCAGACCCCCGTGGGCCTGGCCCCCAGGCCACCCTGGGCTGAAGGTGCCCTGGCTACCTTAGGAGAGTGTGGTATCTCTGGAGGTGACCAAGTCCCTGTCCCAAGCTGCTTCTCAGCCCTTTCTCCCCTCTTCTTCAGGCTCTCCCCCTTGGGCTGGGTTGGGGTGGGTGGAGTCCTCCCCAAGCTCCAGGCTACAGGTGGGGACAGTGGGTGTTGAGTCACCAAGCACTGGCCTGCTGGGAGCTGCGCACCCTGCACGCACCGCACGTTCTTGGCTTGAGACAAACATCGGGCAGCAGCAGAGTGACCTGTGTGGCCCGGCAGCCTCCTGTGCTGCTGCTGGTGTCACCCCTGCCCCATGTCCCCATATTTGTGCCAGGATGCCTAGCCTCTAAGCAGCAAGACACAGTCCCTACCTGGGTTCCAAGTGTCACAGCAACCAGCTGCAGCCTAGGACCTGCCTCCTGCCAGGGCCGGGAAAGTACTGTTTGGCTTGGTGACCCAGGACTGCCTCTGGCTGGCCTTGACCTTGAGGCAATCCTCCTGTCTCAGCCTCCTGAGGGTTGGAATGACAGGTATGTGCCACCATGCCAGGCACCAGCTCTGCTTTTACACTGAGGCCATGGAAGCACCAGGGAGTGGGTCCTCTGAAGGGTGGGTTGCTTGCACCCAGGATTGTGGGGCTTTGACCCCAGTTTCAGACCCACGAGCATACAGTTGCTTGCTGACCACCTGAAGGCCCTGTCAAATGGGACCTGCCTCATGGGGGACCACAGGGCCGAGGGGTGCTTGTCAGGAAACCCAGGCCTCCCTGCGAGGGCCTGTTGGGCCAGGTGTGCTGACACCTGGAAGTCCAGCTGCTCTGGAGGCGGAGGCAAGAGCGCAGCAAGTGCAAGCCTGGGGCGTTTAGCAAGAGCCCAACTCTGAAGGGTCAGGATGTAGTTTAAGGCGAAGGCCTGGGGTCATCGGGAGCACTGAGGACAACAAAAGGCCCAGGTGAGGCTCTGCCTGGGAGAGTGCTCACCCAGCTTGCCCGGGGCCCTGGTGCCCAGGCCTGTCCCAGATGAAAAGCTTCTTGCACCCAGCAGCTGGAGCCTGGGAGCCTGTGCAGGAAACGCTGCCCCCTGGTGGTGACATGATGCCAGGCGGCCCTCGTGATGCCTCCTCCAGGGGTTCTGGTGAGGCAGGGGTTGCGGCCAAGGGTCCGTGTCTGCCCCAAGGGTCCAGGGGCATCATCCGGCTGGTATGGAGTGCGTGGCAGCACCGGTGTCTCGAGGTTGGTGAGTGCCCCATGAGTCCTGAGCCCCAAAGGCGGGGCCTTCCCAGCACCAACCCCCAGCTTTCCCTTCCCACCTGCTCCCTGGCCCTACACCCCACATGTTCCCCCAGCTCCTGGCCCTCTGGTGGGCACTGGAAGGGCTTAGGCCTGGGCTGCTGTGTAGAGGGCTGAGTCTGGTAGGGTCACAGGACACCAAGCCTGAGTGGTAGGGGGCTGGTGTTGGGGACCTGGGGTGCTCCAGGGTGAGCTGGGTTCCTGCAGACCCAGGGGTCTCTGCCAACCAGTGTCGCCTGGGTCTGAGGTCACAGAACCCCTCATTCCCTCCCCAAGGCCTACACTTAAGCCAGTCCCCACCTGTGTCACCCTTCCCAGCCGGCTGGGCCTTGGGTGACACAAAGAGGCTTTGTTTTAGTGCTGGCAGGAGCCAGGCAGCTCCCTGGATCAGAACCAGAATGATGGCTCTGTCCCAAATCTTATTATTTTGTTTCTTTGAGATAGGGTCTCACTGTGTAGCCCAAACTGGTCTTGAACTCACAGCGGTCCTCCTATTCAGCCTCACAGCTGAGATGACAGGCATGCGCCAGTAAGGCCTGAGGTTTTGCTGTGGCTTGGTTACTTAATCCAGTATCAACACCCATCATGCAATGGGGTACGTGTGCCACAGACACAGGTGACATGGGTGCTCCGAGGTGCCCAGCCTCACTCTTCCCTCTCGGCTTGGCTTGGGATTCTCCCTTTCCACTTTGGCCTACGGTGGCAGCACGATTTCCACATTGCCTGGCACCCACCATCCTGTCTGCCCTCCCTGTTAGCTGGCTCTTGTTGCGGGGACTTCCCAGGTCACATCATTGCACATGGGTGTCTGTGCCCCCCAATCCCCAGGCCCATCTGCTTCTTTCTGGTAATTTCCATTTCTGTAAAGTAGAACGCCTGACTGGAAAGGCACAGCTCCCCCAACCCCTACCCCACAAGTTCAGTACTGGGGATGCGACCAGGGGTTCACAGCACCAGCCCTTTTATACTTGGAGACAGGGTGTTGCCGAATCACTCAAGCTGGGCTTGAGCTTGTGATCCTCCTGCCTCAGCCTCCCAGACTGCTGGGTTTGCAGGTGCACACTCAGATGTGGTGTGTCTATATTTAAGGCTTATAGTACATGCAGTGTCCTTAGGAAGCATGGTTCCAATTTGAGCAGGATTTTAAAAAGAGTTTTATCAATTTTTATACCCCGTTAGAATTTTACACACAAGTGTATATATGAGGAAGGAAGACCACCCACGACCCCAATCCTTGGGTGGGATCTCTGGCCCGGGTTTTTCTTATACATATTAAATACATCTGTAGTACAATTGCATATTCCGTCTACATCAGCGAGAGGAAGGAGGAGGCCCGCCTGCCCCACCGCTAGGTAGGCCCAGCTCCTTTCTGACGTTATTTCTGTTTTCCTCAAGCTCCTGCCGTGCTCATGCGGATGACAGGAACTTCTTGGGCATCTGTAGAGCCTGACCAGCGTCACTTTCTTTTTTTTTGGTGGAACCAGGGATTGAACTCAGGCCCTTGTGCTTGCCAGGGAAGCACTTATTCCACTGAGCTATCTCCCCGGCCTCTCTTTTTGTTTTTTTTTTATTTTGTTTTTGTGGGGTTTTTTGACACAAGGTCTTGCTATGTAGTTCAGGCTGGCCTTGTGTTCACTTTTGTAGCTCCCGGGCTGGTCTCAAACTTACAGCTATCCTCCTGTCTCAACCTCCCAAGTGGTGGGATTCCAGGTGTGCGCCACCGCGCCTGGCTCCAGTATCACTCTTCAAAGTTTGAATTGGGAAAATAATCAGGAGGCCGGATGTGGGGTCACACACCTGTCATCCCAGCACTAGGGAAGCTGAGGCAGGAGGATCACCGAGAATTCAAGGCCAGCCTGAGCTACATAGTGAGACCCTGGCTCAGGAACAAAGAAACAAACAAAATAACCACCAGGAACAAGCAAAATAATAGGAGCTTTGTTCTATCTTCTAAATATGAAATTATAATGCCAAATTATATTTTAAAAACATTTTATTTCGTGTGAGACAGGGAGGCTTTAGGAAGGGCAGAGAGGCAAGCAAGACTGTGTTTCTGGATAATTGGCCTGTCCCTGTGCCACCAGGTGGGAATGCCAGCCCCTGTGGCTCAGGGTCAGGCGTGGGGGTTCCTTAGGGGAGTCATGGGTACGGAGACGCCAGGTTAGGTAGACTTGCCAAGAGCAGCTTTTGACTGCCATTTAGAGCAGGGGCCTGCTTTGCTTTTCTTTTTCTTTCTTTCTTTCTTCTTTCCTTTCTTGTGTGCACAGGGTTTTGCTCTGTAGCTCAGGCTCATAGTGATCCTCCAGTCTCAGCCTCCCCAGCACTGGGATTACAGGCATGTTGCACCGCCGGTTCTGTGGTTCACACCGAGCCGCAGTGCTATCTGGGATCTAACCCAGGTCCTTGTGCTTGCCAGGCAGCTGCTTAGACCACCCCAAGCTATCTCCCCAGCCCTGGGTCTTTTCACGTAGTCTAGGCTGGCTTCAAATTTGAGGCCTTCCTGCCTCAGCTTCCCAGATGCTGAGGTGACAGGCACAGGCCACCACAACTGGCTCAAAACCAGAAACTTGGTCTCCGCTTCTCTGATTTGGGTTTTTTCAATTGTCTCTTCCTGTTTCTCTCTCTTTCCCCTGAGCAGGTAGAGACAGGAGGGGAGGATCCTGCCCCATCCCACCCCCAGCCTGGGACCGGCCTTGGGCACCTTCGTCTCCTGAAAGCCGATCTCCTGGGCAGGCGCCCGGGGAGCCGCCCACACAGCAGGCCTGAGGTCCGCACTGCGGTGCGTGGGAACGGCTGCGCAGCAGAGCCGCATGTGTGAACGATTAAGCCAGTTTATTTTCTCTCCAGTGCTGGGGAGGAAGCGACACTGACGTCCTCGTGGTCAGACACAGGGCCAACGGCGCGTGGGAACCAGGCCCAGCCTTTGCAAAGCCAGCCTTCCCTGGGACCCCGCCGAGGGGCCCCCTCTGCCCAGCATCACTAACCCTCGAGTCTCACAGCGCCCCCTGGGGTGGAAGAGTAGAAAGCCACAGCTGCCGTGCCCAGGCTGGGCTCGGACTTGCGATCCTCTGCCGCAGCCCTCCGGAGCATTGGCGACCACGGCCCAGCCCCACACACGCCCTGCGCCCGTTTTCCCATCGTCCGCTCCTGCCTGGCTGTCCTGACATCTCCCCAGGAGCCCCCGGCCTTGCTCCTGGCCTGGCAGCCCCACTGCTCACGGCCTCACCATCCTAGCCTCACCATCCTCACCTTTCTGCCTGTCCTGCAGCGGGAGCTGGGGTGACAGGGTTGGGTCCCAGCTCCTGGGCTGCTGCCGCTGCTGCTGCTGTGGGTCCGTTCAGGACCCCTGGACCGCTGCAGGCCACAAGGACATCGCCGATGCCCCACTCTGCTCAGCCCCCAGACCCAACCCCTGCCCTCACCCCCACCTCCCACGACCCTTTGGGGCTTTTTAAAAAATGGTTTTATTTCTTAAAGACAGAGCCTTTTGGTTTCGTACACAAAGCGAAGGAGTCCCGGCCAGCTCCCGCCTCGCCGTCAGCAGCTCCTCTGGGGTCACAGGGGCAGCCCCTGGGGGCCAGGCACTGAGGAGCCATCAGGGTCCCATCAGCCTCTCAGTGCAGGAGTCCAGGCTGGCGCCGCGGCCAGTACAGTCAGCCAGCCTGTCCTAGGGGCAGGGAGGAGAAGGTCGCGTCCCAGGCACTGCCCCCTCTGCTCAGCGCCATGGGAGCAGGTGGCCATGGGTCCCAGCCCGGCCAACAGCGCTCAGTTCACTGTGGGCACCTGGTTGTGGTGTAGGCTGAACTCCTTGGCCTTGAGACGGAGGCTGGCGATGCTGTTGGCCATGTTGACTCCCGGGGTGGCAGGGCCCGAGCCCCCAGGGCTATAGGGCGGCACAGAGCTGAGGGACAGAAAACATGGGCATTGGCATGGCGTAGACAGTCAGTCCCCTCCCTCCTGACTCCCAGGACTTGGGGACCAACTGGCTGCAGCACTGGGTTGGAGGAGCCCCCTCTGCAGCAGTCCCTGCCCAGCCCTCTATGGTCAGGGTTGAGGTGAGCACTCCTGTCCAGCAGGGGCCCTGGGTGGCTCCTGCCCCAACTAAGGGACACCATGAGGCCTGAGGTTCCCCCCCCCAAGGTGACCCATGAAACCAGACCCCACACAGAGTTGGGGTGTAGCACTCTCCATCCTCCCCCACCCGGACCATGGGACACACGGGCCAATCCCGTGCCCTCTGAGGCTCAGTTTCCCGGCTGGCTGCAGGCATGGGGACTCCTGTGCCCACCAAGGAGCTCCCTACAGATTCTTCCTCCCTCGAGTGACACCCACTCCCCCTGCGGAGGCTCCTCCCCTCGGTGTCTGCATGCACACACCCAGACCCATGCTTATCTGCCCTTGATTGCACAGATGCACTCAGAGAGGACGTGTACCCATGCACACTCACACCCACCCACGTGCACTCACTCACCCCGGGGCACCAAAGTGCCACCCAAGCTCTCAGCAGGTGGAGCCACTGGACCCTAGACGTCCTATGCCCGGGCTCCACGGCCATCCCCTCACCTGTAGGGCGATGCTGCTGACCAGGACAGGTAGTCGGGGCCTAGCGCTGTGGGCCGGGGCGCCACGGGCTGCTCCACGGCAGCCTCCTGGCTGTAGGACTTGAGCAGCGAGGCCGAGCGCGTGGCCAGCAAGGCCCGTTCGTTGCGGCGGAACTTTGCACGGCGGTTCTGGAACCAGACCTGGGATGGGCGGTGGGACGGGCCTGAGTGCAGCCGGGAGCCCGGGTGTGCAAGCCTGGCCACCACCCTGGTGTTGTTTCCCTCCCTGGCCCTCTTTGTCCCCTGTGGGATTGGGGAAGGAGGGGCCGCGGGGGAGGGGTGAGCCCTGCTGCTTTACAGAGCTCCGAGGCCCAGAGAGCCTCAACTTTCCCATACTCTCTCTCACTCTTTTTTTTTTTTCTTTCTTTCTCTTTTTCTTTTTTGAGCAGGGTCTCACTACACAGCCCACATGCGTAGTGATCCTCCTGCTTTCTGCCCCCCAAGTGCTGGGATTACAGGCGCGCACCACCACACCCGGACTCTCCCATGCTCTCACTCTTTGCTTAAAACCAGCACTGCGCTGAGCACCAGAGAACAATCTCAGCTTCCGGGATTATAACAGACCTCTGCTCGCCCTGCATAGAGCTGTGCAAGCGCGGGCTTACACTCGCCCAGCCACCTTGGGCTTGCCCTTCATCCCTCCTTCCTGGCTTCAGATGTACTTCATCTTTGAAGACAGGGTCTCTCCGTGTATGCCAGGCCAGCGTGCCCCTCGCAGCGAACCTCCCGCCCAGGCCTCCGACCCCACCGGGCCTCACCTGAACGCGCGCCTCGCTCAGGTTCACGCGCCGCGCCAGCTCCTCCCGCACGAACGCGTCCGGGTAGTGCGTGCGCTCGAACACGCGCTCCAGCGCCTGCAGCTGGCTGCTGTTGAACGTAGTGCGGTTCCGCCTCTGCTTCTTCTTCCGCTTGGCGCCACCCCGGCCCGGGCTGGGACACTCACCTGCGGGGACCGGGGGTCAGTGGCACGAGGGGCACACACGGCCCACAGCCCCTAGCAATGGCTCTGGGCCTGATTCAGCCTTCAGCTCACCTTTTCCGCGGGGGCTTCCTGGGCTCCCTCTGCAGAGCGAGGGTCCGGGAAATGGCGAGGCCCTTCCACCCCGTTCCTCCTCAGATCTCCCCGAATGTGGTCTCCAGCCCCCCAGTGGCCCGCCTGTTCATCCTTCTGTTCCCATACCCACCCACCCATCCACCAATACTCCTAGCATCCACCCACCCACCCACAGGTGGCGGACATGAAGGAGCACAACCCCAGGCCCTGCCCACTGAGCAAACAAATCGGGGGTCACAGCAGGCCCAGAAACAACACTGGCTCCTCCAGGCACAAGGGACCTGGTCAGGGAGGGCACCCGAAACACCAAGGCTCCTGGCCCTTGGCCTGGTCTCTACACAGTGCCAGCTTAGCATCCGGATCCGTGGTTGAGTCAAGCCGCCCAGGATGAGGTGCGGGCACAGTGTCCGCGGGTGTTAAATATTACAAAGGTGAGGGCTAGCCAAATAGCTCAGCAGACTAAAGCTCCTGCAAGCAGGTGCAAGGGCTGGGGGTTCGATCCCTGGACCTGCCTTGCCGACCCCCTCCCCGGGCCTGCTGAGATGGCAGTTGAGACTGGGCGTGGTGGTGCGCGCCTGTAATCCCAGCTCTTGGGAGGCTATAAACAGGCAGATCGCTACGAGTCTGGTCTAGTAATGAGACCCTGAACACGCTGTAGACCTTTCCCTAAAATACAAAGGTGGTGGCGGGGAAGGCACAGTGGGTTGCCCCATCCATTCTCTCCACTCAGCCACAGGCACCATCGTCCTGGGCAGCTCAGGGGTCCTGTTGCCTCAACGTCTTTATAAGATGTGATCGAAAATAGGACGCTTGCTGCTGCCGAGCGCCACCCAATGCAAAGGAAGCTGGAAAAAGCCAGAGCTGTGTCCTCACTCGCCTTACTCCCTGAGCCGGGCACTAGGCGACTCCTGCCTCTTCCCCAAATCAAAACAACCGCGAAAGGGAAATGTTTTGAATCCCTCCAAGGACATCAAGTTATTTGAGTGCTTGCGCCTTGGGGCAAGGGCTGGGCCAGGTGCGGACACCAGGGGGCGCTCAGCCCCGCGGGCAACCAGGGGCTGATCGGCGAGGCCGGGCGGTAGCCAGGGTTCAATTCCCAGCACCTCGCCAGGAATGTGTATTTTAATTACAAAGCGGCATCACCGCTTGGTTTGACAACAGATTTAACCAATGCAGAAAGATTTAAAGCAAGGGGTCCCCCCTCATCCCACACTCCATT